GCTGAGGCTCCCACCGCTCTCCTGCAGGGGCTGGAACTCCAACTCCTGGCACAGGCTCTGCTCTTCTGGTGCCCCCAGATCTGGGCTCTGTGTGGTCTCCTCATGGGACTCCTCGGGGGTCAAGGTCTGTGCAGGATCCTGAAGCTCACTAGGTGACTCGGGCTCTGCTCCTGGATGCACTGTCTCCTCGGACAGGACTTCCTGGCCGTGAACATGGACAGTCACCTGGGAATAATTCCAACTTCCAGTCACCATGGAGTCAGGAGGAAAGTCTTGGTTGTCATCAGGGCTTATGTTAGGAGAAGCTGCCAACAGGAAAACTCCCAGAGGGACCCAGACGAGGAGGGGAAAGTCCAGTCCCACTGGGGCGTGCGAGGAGGAGCTGAGGTTATCCTCGCCAGGACAAGGGGGGACTTTCAGATACTGCCCTGCTTTCTCATTTCCCTCAACCCTGCCTGTCACCAGGGCTCTGAGGTCCCATCCTTCCCATCTTCGCCTACCCCACCTGCGGCTCGCCTTGCTGTGTGCTTCCCTGTCTGTCGTCCTGAGGGGGAACCTGTCACTGAGGGGCTGAGAGCCTCTGAGGAAGTCACGGAATTCTCCTCCCCAGGACATGGAGGTTCAACATCCAAAGGGAAAACCAAAGCCGTATCACCCTTGTGTGCTGAGGCCACAAAGATGGTCCCTAGGCAGGTGTTTCAAGAACCAGGAAGTCACACTCATACACACACGAACACACACACACTCATCTGTCCCATGGAGCTTATGGATCTAGGTATAACCCAAGGGCAGAGCCAATTCAATTTATGGGGTAATTTATGTGAGCCCTACCCCTAAATCCATGCTCCCAGCAAATAGACCCCCTCCACATCACACAGATCAGGACTCCCCCTCCTCACCCACCGCCTTGGTCTCCTGGGTTGTTTCTGCAAACCCTCCACCAGCGTCACGGCCTCCTCGCCACTCTCTGGCCGCTGGCCCCGCACCCAGCTCTGCAGTTCTCCGGGCAGGACAGTAAGGAATTGTTCCAGCACAAGCAGCTCTAGGATCTGCTCCTTTGTCCTCCTCTCTGGCCTCAGCCACTGATGACACAGTTCTCGGAGTCGGATGAGAGCTTCCCGAGGGCTTGCTGCTTCCTGATAGCGAAAGCGCCGGAAGTTCTGGTGCGACGTCTCAAGCACAGGGTCATCCCTCTGTAAGACAGACTCTGGCCTACAGGTGAAATCATCTTCCAATTTCACCATGAGAATCCCCTCTTCTTCCCAAAGATCCTGGTCCTCCGGTTCCAAGGCTGTAGCCATTGTCTGGCTCTGGGGTGGTCTCACACCATCGAGAGCTCACACTGTCGTTCCCCCCCGTCTCAGCCTGGGCACCTCGAGGCGTTTCTCCCAAGGGACCTGGGTAGAGAAGTAAAGACAGACAACACTATGAGCATGAAAGTACACACAGGAATAACAGTTCTGAGCTCAATCATAATCCTGCACACATAACACTCCCAAACTTAAATCCCCTTTCCCCTAATCTCCATAACACATGTTGTAAATAGATCTAGTTGGAATAGGATAAGCTATGCCTGAAGGTATGTTCTCCCACTCCTTTTCCTAGGCAAGGTTCACACCCCATAGAAAAACAGAAAAACACTATATTTCTACATCATGAAATATGGGAACCTAAAAGGAAAATGGCTAGGAGAAAGGACAGTCATAACTGCCTGCTAAAAATGTGGTACTGACCACAGTCTGTTTTACACACACACGTGCACACACACACACGCTGACATATATATTAGGATATATATTCTGAGAAGAGACACATTGACAGGGCTGAATTAGACAGAGAAGGCTTTGTGGAGGTTCATTGTGAACTGAATCACACTCCGTATTAATTTATTCTGTAAACTGGGGACTCTCAGAGAGGATTGTATGCGTTAACAGCGAAGAAAGCCACTTACACACAATGGCTGGCACATAAGCACCCCCAAAAGCGATCCTCCTCTTAAGACATCTTTAACTAGAAGACCTACAGACCCTCAAAACTGAGGACTCAAAACTAAATTCACGATTCCTACTCCCAAATCCGCCCCTCTTCATGTAATCCTCTTGGCTGAGATCATCACTTGTTAAGTAAACACTCAACGTTATCATCTTTGGATTCAACTTTGAATCTTACCCATTGCTTACAGCTCATTAAACCAATTGTACCTCTTAAGCCTCTAAATCTGTTTCCTCCTGATTTAGTTTGGGCCCCCATCTCTTGCCTGGACTACTGCCATAACTTCCTAACTGGGATCCCCGCAGTACTCAGCTATGAGCAAAACACAACAGACTCAGCTGTGGAGCTTTTGCAAAACACAGTATCACACATCATTCTTCTGGATATTCTGAGTCAAGTCAACCTAGGGAACTGCATCTTTAGAAACGCTACATGTGGTTCTGATGTGCATCCTAGCTGAGAAACACTTAGGGCATGTAAGGTTAAGAGAGAGTCCTGGAGTCAGATTGCCAGGGTTTGAATCCTGGCTCTATTGTTTACTAGATGTGGGGTCATGGTCAAGTTCTTATTCTCCTTATGCCTGTTTCCCCTTTACAGAATAGAGGTAAGGATGGAATCCATCTAATAGGGTTACTATGAGGAATATCTGTGAAGTGCCTAAAAGTGATGGTGCCCCAATGTTAACCATTATCTTTCTGAATAACAGTCCCAACTGCATCACTCAACATTTAAAAATAGTAACTTCATACTGTTAGTAAGATCAGTTCCAAAATCCTTGGCATGGTACATGAAGCCCTTCACAACCAGCCCTCAATTTATTTTTCAAGCCTCATATCCTCCTCTCTTCTCTGTATCACCTGCTATGCATTGCTGACCTCCCTGCAATAGGGTGTCTTTCCAGGCCTCCAAGTCTGTGAAAGTCTGTTCCTTTTGTATGGAAAACTCCCACAACCAATGCTTCATGTGTGTTCCTACTTCTCAACAGGTCCCCTCTTCTTCATTCCCAGGATTTACAGTTTCGGTCTTAATCAGTTCTCCTCTGGATTACTGCAATTGCCTCTAAATGTGAGCTATCTGTCTCCAGGTTTGTTACCTTTGTTACCATTCATCATATCACAAGAGTGACTGCTCTTGGCAAACCTGGTCCTGTCCCTTCCTTAAGATCCTCAATCACTCCTGTCTTGGAAGTGAAATACAAACTTCTAAGTATTATGTATTAGGTTGACCTTCATCTTGGGTTTCTTTTTTTTTAATATTTATTTTATTTATCTGGCCGCACCAGGTCTTAGTTGCAGCACACAGGATCTTTCAGTTGCAGCATGTGGGATCTAGTTCCCCGACCAGGGATCAAACCCAGGCCCCCTGCATTGGGAGCGTGGAGTCTTAACCACTGGACCCACAGGGAAGTCCCTTCATCTTGTTATTCCCTTGCCTTCCTCTCCAATCCTTTCAAACACGCACACACGCACATTGTGCACGTAAAGCACACAAAAGGTCTATGCTCTTTGGCTTTTGAACATGCCGTTCCTTCCAACTCTTTACCCTTCATTAGGTTAAACTTATTTATCTTTCAAGACATAGACAGGTAAGGCTTCATGTCTCCTGAGATGCTTTCTTTGATCCCATTCTCCCTGCCCTTAGACCTGGTTAGAAATCACTTTGCTCCCCTAGCTATCTGGACACATCTGTATCTCAAAATCTGCCGCATCACACAGCCATCGTTCATCTTTCCCCTGAAACCCCTTGAAGGAGGGGACTGTGCTTCAATCAATTTCCAATACCTATAACAAAGCACACAATAAATGCATCTAAATGAATAAGCCTCCACTTTGAAGTTTTCTTTCTATATTAACAGTAAGAATCAATCTTTTCCTCCATAAGTTTCTACTCTTTTTTATTCACCAAATCTTGTTAATCCTACCTTCTAAATCTTTCAGATTCATGCATCTCATCTCCACTGCCATTCCCCGAGTCAAGCCGTTATGACCCACTAAAAGGCATTGATAGGACCTCTTAAAAAATGACGATATCCTCAGGCCCTACGACTGCACTGGCACTTACAAGTGGAACGAACCACTTGGTTCAAATTTTACCAGTGGACTTCCAGGTGCCACCGCCTCCAGACCACTCTCCCCATGCAACCTGAGGGTTCTTCATTTTCCAATCTTTTTATGCCTCACTACAACTGCCTCAGGTCCACCTTCAAGGTCAACGATCCACTCTTAACAGCTGTAACATGCTGTCTAATGTGCTGTTACTCATCAACCACCAAATTATTCATTATTTAAATCTGTATCTCAAATCACTTTTCATTCAAGCTTATTTCATTTTTCCATTACCCGCAAACATTCACTACATAATCTCATGGTCTATAGTTCCGTAATTTACAGATCTTCCTGTGCTAATTTACCTACTTATTACATCTGCTCCATCTCATGGTGCTTTGTTTTTGCAGGTGGTTTGTAATTTTTTTACGTTTTATGCCCATTTTCTTTGGGAGAGCCCTAGGTTATAAAAGTGAGCCCCTTGAATGAAATTTCGTTTGCTTCCATCCAAGTACTAGTGGTTTCAATATCTTAATTTCTCAGCCTTCCTGAATTATGCCAAGTGTCTTATTTAGGCCTAAGCCTGTGAGTGATTTCTGTCCCACCCAAGGCTATGGAGGCCTACACTTCCTTGCCCTTTTGCTTGATCAGTAGACAGATTTTCATGGAAGGAGTAGCTCTTCAAGGCTCCAGGCTGGCAGATATTCAACTCTATATCCCTCCCCCATCCCCACCAGTGCCCCATTTTCATATCTCCCTGTTGGAGTATAGGTATCAGAACCCCAAACTTTAGAAGTCTTTATTTTGGTTTGAAATCTCCTCGCGCTGTGGTGGAGTTAGATTGTGCTCACTCCTCCAGCTTTTATTTCTGGAACCTAGACATTTACCGTTAGCTTGGGGGCAGGGAGGCAGGTGAGTGCAAGCATTTAAAAATGGGCAAGAGCCATATCCACATCAATACCACCCGCAGTGCTGCGGTAAGGTCTGAGTGGTGACCCTTCTGACATACAAAATCGGCCAATGGCCTCACACTGTCCACAGGGTAAAATCTAAACCCCTTACAATTTGATTCCCAAGGCCCTGCAAGACCTTGCCCCTGCCCACCTCTCTTCTCCCACGACTGCTACTGCATTGAAACTTGCTGTTCGAATACACTGCTGTATCTCTTTTCTACGCCCTCACTAGGTGTCCTGATGCTGTCGACTCTGCCTGAAATACCCTTTCTACCCCTTTTACTTGGTTAACTCTACTCATCCTTCAGATCTGCTTTCCCCAGATGCCTTCCCTCGTCCTCCCAGACTGTTTCCACAGGACCTTGGACCCTGTATCGCAGCACACACATGTATCTACTTTTTGTGTGGCAAGAATCGTTCAACCTCCTGTTTAATTCACCAGACCGTAAAGCTCCGAGGGCAGGGCCACACAACACCCAGCTCAAGGCCTGTCACACAACAGGTACTCAGGCAGAGACCACGGTAAGTCTTTTTAAGTCTTTCTCTGGAAGGACAGATCCAATATCATATTAATTCTTACTCACTCATTTGTCCAGCAAACTGTGTGCCGTGTGCCAGACAAATGAATAAATAAGGGAGAAAACACTTATTATTTGGATTGTGAGTAAAATACTCAGTGGTTCCTGAAGTGAGGAAAACACAACTCATCCATCACAAGGAATCTTCAGGCTGCCTTGGGAGAATCCACATACAAGTCACACAAAGCTGTGCATTTGGGAAAAAAAATTTTTCCTTTGAAGATTTGAATCAACCTTAATATGCACAAAACCGGACATCAAGTAATTTAACACAACTACAACACTGATTATTTATCCAGACAATCCCCCCAACATCTGCAAGGCAGGAAAAGAAGATGGAATTGATACTCAGGGTCTCTGGCTTAATGAAGGGATTTCTATTAACTTAAAAATGTGAGAACTTGCCCAGCGAAGCAGGCTAGGAACTCTGTTTTCACGTAGCACAGTCCACGAGATGCCCTACTACAGATTCCACAAAGTATGCGCTGACAGAGGGTTCCTGCTCTTACAGGGCTTTGCTCTCCAAAGAAAAAAGAATATAAACCTGCTGATTTAAAATGCTCTTCAGAAATCACGGATTGAGATTTCCTTTGCTTGTTTTGTATTTACTTTGGCAGCCTAGGAAGGTGAGATGGCGACAAAAGATCAGCAACAGCGGAATGAGGGGAGGCAGAGTTGTCCTTGTTGGGGCAAGAGATGGGAAGGAAGAGCAGGCAGGCAGTGCTGTGAAAAGAGCACCGGATTAGGTATCCAAAGATGTACGTTCCAGCCCACATCCCCACAAACCTGGAACCGCTCTAAGGCTTTCCTGAGACAAGGTACACAAGAG